TTCATATCTAATTCTTGCAGATATGGAAATTTTAAAAATAGAGAAGGATAGGTTTAAAATTCCCTAAGATTCTTGAATGAACACTTAGATCCAGATGGAGCCCTATCTCTTTTCTTCTAAGGATGTGATGTTTTAAACGCATGTCTGGGTGCGCGACTTTTATCTATTTCGTCTCTCTGTCATACAACCTAGAGACTGATGTGAAAATCACTGTGAGACCAAAGGCATTTTGTAATACAGGTAAGGAGATCTTCATTTCTCCATGGAGGATTGTAAAATTCATTTTAAAATTAAATTTAGCAAATTATGTAAGTTGATAATACTCTAGTAAAATACTACAAAAGAATTTCCATAATTAAACAATTTCTAAAGGTGAATAAAAGTATTAATTTTTGTCTTGCTGCTTCATAACCTGATTATATTATTCAATTCATCACACTTTAATGTTAATCCATCCAATAAATTTGGTATAAAAGGTTAGGTTTCTTAGCAATTACAAGTGTACACAGTTTTAAAAGATTGAAAAGAAGACTTTTCTTTCCCTTTTTGGTACTGTAGCACCTAGAAGTGAGAATCCCATTCATTAAAGTTTTCCTGTCCTGGGAGTAAGCAATCCCAAATCATACCTGCCATTTTTACATTTTCCATCTCATCTGCACCACTGTCAGCATTATTCTTGCCTTCTATAATGTTTAAGTTTAAATCCTCTCTTCACTATAATCATCTGAATTGAGTTTCACTTTGAACATGGTATAAAACTGCCATAGGACATTTTAGCAAGGAAAATTTCTGGTCATTCCTCCATTCGTTGCTTCTTTTCTACTGTCACTGTCTATTTTCACTTGTCGTCTTCCATAACATGTTGCAAAGGAACTAAAGCAAGGCCTCTGTCTCCAGCACCCACCAGCAGCTGACACGGTGCTCTCACACGTGTTCCCTGGAGAACCCAAAGCCACAGTCTCTTTTACTGACTAAGGTTAATGCTATCACTCGGGCTTCTATCTCGAACACTGCCTAGTAACCCATTCTTATGAAAATAATTTTATCAAGAACAAAAAAAGAAGTATAAAGCTATCCTTCCTCCAATATGCCTTCTAAACTGCTAATTGCTAAAAGAAAGGAAACTATTTGAGGTAAGGGATGTATATAGATAGTCATGGCTTAATAACTCCTATAAATCTGTCCTACATGATCCTAATCCCTCTTGGACCAATGCATTTTTTTTTATACGCTTTACTTCTTCATTGTGGAAAAAATATGCTGCCTGGTCTTTAAGATTGTTTAGTTAAGTTATTAGGAGATCTAGCTGCTTCCCTATTGTTGCGTTGTGAAAAAATAACAAACTATCCTGTAATGATAATTGCAAAAATAGTCAGTAGATTATTTTCCGAGCAGAATAATCAAATCCATTTACTCTTTCCTGTTATGGAAGCTATTTCAAAGCAGCTGTGCTATACCTCCAGCCCTGCTGCAAGCCCTTCTCAACAGAATGACAATAATGCCTCTCCATTACCTTCTTCACTCTGTTAAAGACACTTACACAGTAAATACCTTAACACAATGATTATTTGCAAATTGCGTTTTCCATGAATTTGACTGCCTCACTGACAAGTACACCTACAAAACTGCCATCCTTTTATACCTCTAACCTCATTCCCTCCTTTGTGAACTGTATAACTTCTTCCGCAATATGGTTCTGTTACAGGACGATACACAGCTCCAGCATTCATCTCCTTAGCTTAAACAAGCACAATTTTTATCAAAAGAAAAAGCCCGAAAATTCTGTCAGTCTCTCCTCTTCCCTGTAGTGCAGGAACAGTACACTACTCACCATTTGAGAAGTTAGGCTCCGATACCATAGATTAGTTGCTCTTTTCTGTTACAAAGGGTGCTCAGAAACCTGCACAACAGGTTGCAGGAGCACAGTGCACACAAGACTTTGTTTCACTACAATTTTCAGAATTAATCAGAAACTTAAAACTCTTTCACAGAGAAAGGCCAGCTCCACTATGCAGTCCTCTCAGTCTTGATCCTGGAGAGTGCTGAACACTATAGCTCTTACCACACACGCAGATGTAGATCATTCCTGAAACACACCACACCTTCCTCAGGTTTATTATCCCGTACGGGAAGGCCTTACTTCCTGATTTGAGCTTGATGCCTAGTCATTATATTTATTTTTAAATCACCATCATTATTTGACATTATCTTACTATTTAAAGCTGCAGAAAAACTTTCTTGCCAAGTCTAATGTCTGTGTTTCAGGTTCAGCATTTATGTTACTATAACTCTGACAGAAAGGGTGTAGAATCCAGTATCTAGGTATTTAAATTCAAAATAGAGAATTAAGTATCTTCTTTGTATATTCTAGGGAAAAAAAGAGACTGGTAAAATCATGCTGTTCTGCTTTAATTACCACAGACTACAGTGATTCTTGCAGTGGGGGAAATCATTTGCTTAAATTCTTTCTTGTGTTGCTAAGATACTATGTGAACAAAATTAATTTTCAGAAAGTCCTGTGGAGCATCTACCATTATACCTATTTTACAAGCAGGAAAACTGAAACAGAGAAAGATTCTCATTGTTTATCCACAACTTCACATAAATGAATAGAAAACCTAAAATTAGTAGCTGCTAAGATTATGGCTAAGATTATCCTAAGATTATGGTTGATTAATTAGTAGTTATATATGCAGCCAGGGCATGGGTTTTATGCTTTTCAGAAATTCTGTATGTAGGCTGTAGTGCTAAGCAGTCCTATAATTATTCACACCGTGTATTAGACAGGAAAAAAAAAATAGAATAATGATCTCTAGAGGTCCCTTCCAACCTCAATCATTCTGTGATTCTGCAATTTTTGGCTCAACAGGTTTACATGGAGGTTCAGAAACTTACTCCCACTGCCAATAATATTAATTGAAAGAGCTATATACTTAAGCAGAGATTCTCTCTTGGGCCACTTTGTACTGCTTGGGCAGTAGGGGACTGCAGCATGAGAACTGGGTCCTACAGCAGCCTCCAGAGCTGCTTCAGTGGCGCTTTGTGCTGGTGCAGAGATTAGCCCATGTGGAACTAATTGCAGGACTGTGGCCCAAGTAAGAAATGGGTCTAGTTCTATTTGCTTATTATCCAGTTGTCAAAATGTACTGCTCATTAAGGCCAGAAACAAAGGGTCCAGATGGATTCTTTATATCGCAGAAATGTGTTTCCCATATAAAAAGAAAATAATCAGTAACACTGCAAGGGAATTTAAAACTTTACTGAAAAGAAGGAAACTCTGAGGCAAGCTTTTTTTAAAATGTAGAATAATGCAGAGGGGCCCTTTCTCTAAGCAGTTTATGATTTATTTTCACTTCAAACCATAAATTATGCAAGATGCAGTTTCACTACATGAGTCCATAAAACATGAATGAGGATAAAACCAATGCAATCTAATCTCTTCCATACTGTGAGCTCCAAGTGCAGCTAATCACTTTGCTCCCATCCTTTAACATCTGAATTTGCTGTCCTATACAAGAGCCCTCTGGATTCCTCTAACTTAACCAACCTGCTGCAGTCCCTGACAGCATGACTGGACAGCCAGAGGTCATGAACATGGGACTTGGAGCTCTTCTCTTTCATCAGCAGGTGGCAATAAGCTAGTACAGGAGCCATAATACTATATATAAGGAAGCAAAAATGTCCTTGATGGGCATGAAGATTTTATCTGTAACCTGAACCTACCAAACTAAAAATTGATTAAAAATAGAAAAGCAGAATTGGTTAAAAAGTGGAATGAGCAGATATCAGAAGCTTTCAGCAAAGTGTTCAGTTTTATGAGATCTTTAGGACGTACCTAAGCTCTAACAGGTTCCTTAAGTGAGCCCGAGTGCTCTGCTCCCTAACACCGCTGAGGACGTAGCTCCAGCATCAGCTGTAGCAGGTCTAAGTCCACTTGGCTGCTAAAAGGGGCCTTGTGAACAAGTCACCTCGGGGAACTGACTCAGCTGCAATTTAACCCAGTAAAATAAATTATTTTTGAAACAGGATGAATTCCCTGATCCAACTTTCCATATAGCCACAAAATCACAAATGCCAGTACCAGACAGAGAGCAAGAACATGGACCCCAAGTGGGAAAGCAGGGAGGAGGTTTTAGCATCCATATGATTAAAGGGTGTTCCAGATACAACCCTATGCTATCTGGCTGGATAGAGAAAACCTGTGTCAGATAGGCACCAAAATACTTAATGTTCAGTAAGTTGTAACTAGTTGTGTGAACTAGAAGTTTGGGTTGTCACATAGGTCAGCCTGTCTATAGCTTCTGGTGATGCATCTATCTCAAGCACCGCTTGTCTGGTCCTGTGAGACAAATGGATTCAGACACCTCTTTCCTGTGCTCCTTCAGGCACCAAAACCCATCACTTAGTCTGATGAGCTTTGCAAGTGCCTGCATTTCTGGAGGGAGGCATTTCTAAAGCTGCTTGTGTCCTGGTGCTGCTGTGTTGCTTAAAGTCCTAATCACAATGGGATTCTCCACTAAGTCTCTCCTGGTTATCTCATCCCATCTGTAGCATGCCTATAGGATCAGGCCCTCCACATAAAACAGGCACAGACAAGACTTCTGAAGGTCAGAGGCTAGTATGTATATGCATTGCATATATGGTTACATTCTAATTATCAAAAGTCAGCCCTCAGCTGCAGAAGTAGGAGCTGTTTCTTTTTCATTAATGCTCAAGACATACCATTTACATTAAACTAGATCTTAAAAAATGATAAGATTAAAAAATGATAATGCAAGCAACCTTTTGAAACTGTGATACTGAAAAACACATTGCACTGACTTCAGGAGGACTATTCATATAGCTAGCTGATATTTGAGAGAGAATATATTACCAGGGCATAATAAATACTGCGTGTCCTAATCAGCTACCTCAATCATAAGTACTGCACAAATATTCATGTTACTTTGTTACTAATGCTTTAGGAGAGAAAAGTCACAATATTTTTTCCTTCCCCTCAGGTGTAATCCTTGGATTTTCTCTTCGATCATATAAGATGAGTTATCGGGAAGTCAAGTACTTTTCATTTCCAGGAGAGCTACTCATGAGGATGCTGCAAATGCTGGTCCTGCCGCTAATTGTATCCAGTTTAGTCACAGGTAAAAAAAAAAAAAAAAAAAAATTTCGAAGTTTTTTTTAAAATAATTTGATAAAGAGGCACAGAGTAAATCATAAAAAATGCGCACCCTATATGCTAGAACAAAAATGTAATAACTTGCAGTATGAGATATTGCTGCTAATGCTGATTTGGTATAGTATCACAAGGTCTGAACTAATACACAAAGTATTAAAAAGATGTTTTTCCACATTCCAAGTCACTCTAACTGTGCAATTTATTGTATGTAGCTGCTATGAAGCAGTTTGTACTTCACTTACTTTCTAGACTGGTATCTCTTTCCGTGAAATCCTACTGTTATGAAAGATAAGAAATGTCAGATTTTTTTTTTTCCATCTGTGTTCCAAGACCCAGCCAAGTTTAAACTATTGATCACAGGCAAGAACCTGTCTGGGTCACTGATCTGTAAAACATCTGTCTATCTCCTATCCTTTTAACAGCAGACTGGAAACAGTGAGTGAGTGATAGATACATTTGTGGAGGAGGCTTTATCCCATCAGTTCTCATCTTCTTTCTTCTGGTCAGCAACAATTAATCTTCAAGCACTCTTTATTAAGTTGCTAATTGAGTTCCACCTCTAGAAAGCTTCCTGAAAGACCTTTCAGATTTTTTTAATCAACATTACTGCTTAGGATAAATGTATTTATCCTATTAATTATATGAAGAAAAGAAGGTAGATATTTTGCTCTGCCAGCAAAACAGTGGTACAGCTAGAAGAACAACTTAATTAATTTAATCAGAATCATCTAATGTGCAGTCCTAAAATCTACTTAACACACCACATTTATTGGTAGAGAATCCAGAGTCCATAAGATATATATATATAAATATTAGGATCTACTTTTAGGAATGCAAGGGAATACAGGCCCCACCTGCACAGGTACTAATGACAATATGTATATATATGAGCTGTGAGTATCAATAGAAACTATTCACGATTTAAAAAATTAATTTGCCATCTTTCAAGGAGAAATGTTTGTTTCTCTGCATACATTCTATATGGATATTGGAAGCTTAATGCACACTGAAATGAGAGAGAAATTTTTAAATCTTGTAGGGGAAACCATGACAGGTTTTCTTCCCAACAAGTCTGCTATAATTCTATTATTATAGAATCATAGAATGCTTAGGGTTGGAAGGGACCTCTAGAGATCATCTAGTCCAACCCCCCTGCACACGCAGGGTCACCTAGAGCACGTAGCACAGGACTGCATCCAAGCGGGTTTTGAAGATCTCCAGAGAAGGAGACTCCACAACCTCTCTGGGCAGCCTGTTCCAGTGCTCTGTCACTCTCACTGTTAAAAAATTTTTCCTTAAGTTCCTGTGGAACTTTTGGTGCTTCAGTTTGTGGCCATTACCTCTAGTTCTGCCAGTGGCCACCAAATCTTCCCGTGTCTCCCGTCTTCTTATCATCCTCTTTTCCACATACAGAACCCCCAGCTTGGCTGGTCATTGATAAGTAAAACCATTAAAAGTGGTTCTGCAGGAGAAGTTCTGTGTTCAGTTCCTTGTAAGTCTGCATCCTTATTTCTTCCTTGAGAGAGCTGAAGTTCAAGACAGGAAATTGGGAAGATAAATCATCCTATGTGAGGATTTGCATTTACCTATTTTCTGAATGTAAACTTCCTTAATCAGGAAGGGTGATTGGCAGGAAGGGCAGAAAACAATGCAATTCACAAATGACAAATTTCAATCTGAAAAAAAATCCTTAAATACAACAATATTATGTGTTTTTTTTCATGGGATTATGGAAATTTTCAAGTTTATTGCTAGCAATTCTGGAAAAACTCTTTTCTACACTGAGCAAAACGTCATTAGCACACAGATAGTTCAAACAAAAAGATGCTCATAAATATTTGATGGCGAACTGTCATACTCAGGTAAGTATACAGGTATTATTTAGTATCTAAATAACAAGCTATAATCTTTACAAATATACTACTGTACAATTTTATAGACACTCTTGGTTGATATGTTTTTATAAGCTAATTCAGAGGATAAGTGTCTTATGCTTCTCAAATCAGTCTTAAATCCACTCCATGATGCATCCATGAGCCAAATATCTATATTTTGTTTGACAGAAATATAACCATAAGACCCCTCCCAGGTACTGCACACAGATAAAATTACTTCTTCCCATTGTAAATTATTTGAATAAGTATTTTTGCTCTTTGCAGGCATGTGACTGTCTCCCAGACATTATGGTCTGGGTTTTCCTTTGTATTTATGTATGTGGTCAAAACAACTGGTTATTAGGATAATATCAGCACATTCGGTCTCCAATGTCTTAGAAATAGACTAGTCAAGATTACTTTTTTTTTTTTTCAAATTATTTGGATATCAAAGAAATGTGAGCAATAAAAATGAAGTTATAATTACACAAGCTGTGGGCTGTTCTAGAAGTGATAGAAATTCAGAAACGGGAGAGTTGTTATAGACACACAGTTCTCAATTCCTCACATACTCTTCAGAAAATAAACTGGAAATGCTGAAGTCAGCTTAGCCACATTTCTGTATAGACTATTTTGATATTCAAAATATTCATGAAAAAAACAGAGCAGAATCTTATTCAGGCCTTTAAGAGCACATAAACTTAAATTTAAACTTATCAATTGCCATTACTGCAAGTGGCTCAAGCAGATAAGCACTTTTCTGCATGAGATTCTGTCTTCTGATGTGGATGTTACCAGGCATGTGCTGACATCTGCTTGGGAGAAAAGAGAGGTTATTTGCCTTCCTTTCACCATCTTTTATTGTTTATAGAAAAATATGATTATATGGATATCTGTACACCTCATCTTTTATGGTTTAGGCACAAGTCCAGCTGCATACTCTATGCTCATCTTTATTCTCTGTATTCTTACAAATATGAGAACTCGTAAGTAAACAATCTCAATCAGTATCTCTTTACAAAGTCAAAATTCAGTCATAGTGTACATAGACTAGTGTATAGAGGCAGCATAAATAGCTAAAACATATAGATGAAATTCCCTTTGGGTTTTCTTTTTTTTTTTTTTTCACCAGATCTGGTCTGAATTGTTAGACAAACACAAGGCTGACAATTTTGTCCCATTTCTGTTTTGAATTTGCTGCAGTTTAAAGAGTTTAAAATACTTTATACTTTTTTATTTCATCATAATTTGAAACATTTAACATATACAGTTTGCTTGACATAATTATTTTAAAATATCTATTGCCCATAAACAGGATATAACATAAATATATATGCACATGTTAACAATTTCACTCATGATGAAATAGGCAAAGACTGAGAGATTTGCACCAGCATGCACTAACATTTTTTGAGCTATTACAACAGCACCATCACAGAATTGAAATTCCAGCCTTTAAAACTGGCCTGCAAGTGTTGTCAGCATGTTTTGTTTAAGAAGGCTATACTTCACTGTATATAAGGCATCACGATGAGGTACCCTTTCCTAGCCAAACTATATGTTTCCTGAAATCAAATTCACTTAAATGATTCATGAGCAGTCTTAAAAGCATAGTTGGAGCATGACAATTTATCTGAGGGATATTTGCAAGTATTTTGCACAATTTTAGTCATATCTCATTTTTTACTAACATGCTAGATCTCTTTCCCCAAAATTTCTCAAGCTTGGAATTGAGTTTTACAGGGACCACTACTATTAAGTGTAAGTAAATTATGATTAACTCCTCAACATTTCTTTCCAATATATTTGCTTGATCATGTAAAGTAGTATATAAAAAGCCCAGTCAAGATGTGTCACCCACTTTTGCTGGACACTGCCTAAACACAGTAAGTAACCATCCTGTCCTGAAAAATCTGCTCATATGAATCAAGTACAGAAAAAAAGGTAGGGAGGGTGGAAATTATGAAACAGAGAGGTCCACTGACTTGCTAAAGATGACCCAGCAGGTCAGCAGTAACACAGTCCAGCCCAGAACCCAGCCAGGAAGGTGAGTAGACCACACTGGGCACTAGGTAATACTGCTTGTCCACACTGTTAATGGGAGTAACACAGCCACGGGTCTTAATCACAGACCAGGATTTTATGTGCAAGATTCTGTACAAACCCAAATCAAAAGACTGAACTTTCATAAATGGGCAAAACAGTTTGGAAGCCTGAGTATGGAAGGATTACTTCAAGTATGAAGATACTAATAAGCCCAACTTTAATAAGCCCAGAAAAGAAAGGAAAAACAGCAAAGCAGGTTGATAATCTTGTGTTATTGGTTATCCTAAAAATTCAGTTCACATGAACAAGAGGATGTACTGACAAAAGAAAAATGCCCTAGGCCAAAATCTTCACCTGCGCTGGTGTCTATTACCTTCTAATTAAAGGAATGAAGTTATACGACATTCCAACTGTGCAGAGAGAGGGTTTATGAAAATGATGTGGAGGTTCTGGTTTTATAGCTTATTAGTGTAACTTTTAAGGCTGCTGTGCTTTGAAGGCACTTCTGTTTCCCAAATATTGAAACTATTAGAGTGGATTTCCCAACGCATCTTAGTATGAGGTTTGTAGCACGTCTTTGTTTATATTAACTTCTCATTCTAATTACAATCATACATAATCTGACTGTCTTTCATGAACTGCGGAAGGTACAGAAACTTCCCCGACCTGCACACAACTGTGCTAGACCAGACCACAACCTCAACAGCTGCACGAGACACAAATGATTTTCCTCTGGACAGAGTCAGAGACTCTGCAGATTTTGTCCCCAGACTTTTTCAACATGTGCTTATTATTTACCACTACACAAACTATTGAAAGAATTGACAACATCCACAAATTCACAAATTTCCATTCATGGATACTTCGCAACTGATCTCATATATACATGTGATGCTCTTGATTCCAGCTATTGTGATGCTCTTGATTTCAGCTTGCACTGAAGTGCGAGGAAAAGTGGCATTGGTAAAAACAATTAGTAAGGAACATGGTCTGTGCCCTGGCTGGGAGGAAGACAAAAGACATGTAGAGTGACTCAAGTCATAAA